AAGGCTGAGTCAACCTTGAGCCGGTGAGATTAGAACCGCTGAACTGCAGATAGCAGTCAGCTGAAGTGGCCTGCAGTTCTGCACCCTAACCACTGTGCCACCTCGGCATCTATGTAGATGGCCACTGTGCCAAATGCCTTTGATTTTATCCAGCATCACACCAGCTATGTTTAGCTTAAAGTTGATGTTTTAAAATATATTATTCTGAAATGGAATAAGACAATTTGCTGAGCCTAGAAAAATAACCGCAGCGCTCGCCTTCTGTGGAATGACCACTTACAGAGCAAGCTTTGCTTCTTTTTTGGGGTTCTGCTTAGGATGTTTGAACACTGTTTAATATTCAGAGAAGTTCTTAGATCTTTGGCCAGTCACAGCAGACCTGAAGGTGCTGGTGGTTGCTGTGAGACTGGGTGGAATAAGGCCATTTTCCTCTATAGCAAACAACAGATCCGTTCTCAAAAATAATACCCTGCTGTCTAGATTGCTTAAGCTGTTTTGCCAGGTGACGAATACATATAAGGCTGGCTTGGGGGGAAAAAAGCAACATGAAAAGCGAAGAATGGCAAAGAAGCTGATTTGCATTTATTTGAAATACTTTTGGAATTTAATTTTTTCCATCACCTTAAGTAGAAAAGAATTAAGGTAGCTCAACTGGAAATCAACTCATTTCCTGATACCCTGTTTTTAAATCTAATTCTTATATGGAAATCTCGCTGCTTCGGCAAGTATCCCCATAGTACAGCTTGATGAATGAAAGATACATAATATACAGAAACAACTGTATATGTTATGTATCTAAGCATTCTTGCTCTCTTGTTTTTTCAATCAAATGTTTAGAACTGCTTCAAATTGCACAGGCAGGGTATCATTCAAAACATGAGGGCTTTCAGGTGTGAGCGGCATTTTAAAAAAAAGGTTTCGTTTTTGTCTGGCTGCCAATTATAATATCTCTTCCCGCTCTGTTACATCTCACTCTTTTAAGCTGCGAAAAGTATTCTCTGCAAACAGCATTGCCTCTTTAGGGTATGTGGTTTCGTATTTGAAAAGAGCCAGTTACCTTTTGAGAAGCACACAGAATATATTCCCCATTATAAACTTCAACACGGGAGTAAGCTACTCTTCCTCAAATTTGATTTGATTTGATTTATTATATTTGTATGCCGCCCTTTTCCCCCGAAGGGGACTCAGGGCGGCTCACAATTCAAATCAGGGAAGGGGGNCGCGCTTTAGTCGAGCGCGGTTTTGTCGTGCCACGCTAAAGGATAAGATTCGGCAAGACAAACAAATGCTTCAGAATAAGATCTAGGGAGACAAATACAAGTGGGGGCGCTATGCAAATACAGACGCTACATAGATGATTAACCACAGTGCAACCATAGAGCTCTAGAAGGGCTTTCATGGCAGAGCAGAAAGGCCGGCATGGGGTGTCCACAAGCCATATTTTCTCTTCAGAGTTTCTGACTAGGCTTCCTACTTAAAAGCAGAAATGTAGGCCACGCTGAATGAGACATAGAAAATAGGTCTCTTGGTTGTTGTTGTTGTTTTTCTTTAATAGAACATTGCTGCAACACATTTCAAATATAGCACCATGCACAGCTAATTCAGGTACGAAGCACTGAACTCTGAGCACACAATTTGAAAATAGCCATTCTTCCTCCCCCACTCCCCATATTTTCACAGAAAAGTTATATCTATATCTCTTGAAATATATTAACATTTTTCTTATACTCTTAACTCTTTTCATTATATATTATGTTTTCTTTCTATGGACATTTTCTTTTAAAGTGGAAAGAATCAAGAATCGACACAGACTGCTCTGAATCCCAAAATAAGTGTCTCTAAAACCGAGGGGATAAAGTCCGAGGAAAATAACGGAAGTCTCCAAAATAGCTCTGACCATCGTTTCAATAAAGTGCTTCTTCTAGGTTATTTTAATAACCCCACCATCACCTCACTGATATCCCACATTTTTCTTGCCACCAAGTCATCTGTGGCCTTGGGCAACAACTGCTCCTCCTTGCAGTCGCCAAAATATTTCCCAGATACGCCCTCTACTTCAGGAGAAGTGGACAGATAAACGATGGTCTGGGCTCCTTCTGACGGAGACTTGAAGAATGCCCAAGATACCAAATTGAAAAGGGGCTTGGCTAATAAAGGAATATGTACGTACCGACCTAGATTTGTTCTGACAATACCAGGATGTAATACATTCACAGTGACACCTGTGTTTTGTATGCGTCGGGCTAACTCCCTGGTAAACAATATGTTGGCCAGTTTACTTCGGCTATAGGCAAAGCTTTTGTTATAACTTAGTTCGCTGTTTAAGTCGTCAAAGTTGATTTCTCCATGTTTGTAAAGCTTGGAGGATACCACTACAATCCTACTGGGAGCAGAACTTTTTAGAAGACTCAGGAGAAGATTTGTGAGCAAAAAGTGACCTAAGTGATTGACGCCAAACTGCATCTCAAAACCATCCTCTGTCTTCATATAAGGACACTGGAATATCCCGGCATTGTTGATCAGGACATCCAGTCTTGGCTCTTCCTGTAGGAGAGAGGGGGAGAGAGATATTAAAATCTGGTCTTCTAAAGGAAAAAAATGGTAATATTTCATGTTCACAAAGCATCTTTGATATCCTTCTTCCCCAAATTTTCTAACTGCACAATTTTGAAAGCCCGTCAAACCTAGAAAAAGCTCCTGAGACGGGGAAAAAAAAGAAATCTGTCAAAGGAAAGGCACCACAACACAAAAGGAACTTAGCCAATCCTTACAGCTTCGTTCATGAGGACTTGATTCTTATGTGTTTTTTTAAAAATACACACATTTATTAGAATTACAATGCATCTTTTCTTCAGCAATTTGCATGGGGATCTGTTCTGACCCCCTCCTCTGTCCAGTAACGAATGCCGAGACAAGCTTAACTGGAATGTCCTTTAATAGCA